GGCCAAACAGGCCAGCAGTAAAAAGAAGTACAGAACTATGGCACCTGACACCTCTGGGAGCCCAGGTTTTAATCGGAGGTGGCAGAAATTAATTCAAGAGGCATCTGTACACAGACTCCACTGTCCTCATCTGCTTTTATGTTTGACTATCGGAATCCTTTGAAACTAACTGGACATTGAAAAATGAAGGGGTCAGTTGTATGTAAAAATAGCAATGTGTTAAGGCATATTTTGCTGAGGTGAAAAATGGATTATTTTGATTATACTTTGTTTTTTCTTTTTTTTTGGCTTTTTCCTTTTTATTGGTACCTGGGATCGAACCCACAACTGCCTGCTTGCAACGCAGGCACTTTTGCCACTGAGCTAAATCCCCAGCCCCTTGATTATACTTTGGCTATTGAAACCTTTCAAAGTTTAGAAAACCTAAGGGAACCAAATATTGAATTAGTCAACTTATCCTTCGAATGTAATTTGGCTCTCTATTATAAATAATGGCTTCCCAGAGTTACTATCTGCCCATTCAAGTTGCAAACTCTGAACTTGAAAAAGATTTAATTCAATGCATCAAACACTTATTAAGAGACTCTAAAGGTCAAGCTCTCTACTAGACCCTAGAAATAACAAAAAACTTCTCAAAATATATGTAGAATGAGAATTTATATGGGTACTCATAAAAATTAAACTAAGATAATAATTAATAAGTAGTAGCAGTTTTGTCTAGGTAGTGAGATAGTAATTTTTGCTTTCTGTTTGTATTTTTCCGAATTTTCTAAGTATTTTTACAGTGAGCATGATTATACTTGTTAAGAAAACAAAAATCAAAACCTCAGGGAAGTAGGGAAAAAGGAAACAAAGGCAACTTGATTAGGCATTTAAATTGCATTTTACATCCAAGAAACAAAAAATTAAGTTTTCTCTTTAAAACTTACTACCATTACCAGAAACAACTGTGAGACTCTAAGATCCTGTATGACAGCAAATGAGCTTCCATCTCACCAAACAATTTAAATGTTCAAGATCTGTCTATCTCAGGTGAGTTCCCACTAGACCATAGGCACGCCTTTTGGCATTAGCAACACTGCACATTTTATAATGTTAGAGAATTTAATGGCTGTAAAGTTTAGGGGAGAATGACAAATGCCACTTTTGGAACAGAAATAAGAATTTATATTCAAAGAAATAAATAAAACATAGGAACACAGGGAGTTAATTTCGTTTGTTCTGCTTCGCTACAGGAAAGTGAAAAGTGAGTGTCTATGGCACTGGATAGTCACACTTATGCTAGAAGCCTGGGTAAATATCGTAATATTCAAAGAATAAACTGAAACCACAAGACAAATATGTATTACAGAACAGTGAACCACAGCACTATCAATGAAATTCTTCTCTAATGAGCCCAGATTAGTAGCTGTAAACTCAAACGGGAAATTGTGAATCACAACCCTAAGCCACCTTTAAGGTTACACTTGTCTGGAAGATTTCAGTGTGACTCACCGATTTCCTCCAATCACAGTCAACCTCCTCAAAACTTAGTACAATCTCTTTTGCAGTTAACCAGCTGCAGAATGCTCTGAAAGTCAATTTCTCTTCTTTTCGGTTGATCATAAAATTGCAACTTGGCGAGAAGCAAAACGGAGGACAGAGTCTCTATGTACTGTCCCAAGTTAAGAAAACCATGTGCCTTCTGTTGTAACCTTCAACCTATCGGCCTTTACTTTACTTTCTCTTTACTTACACTTTTCATCTGTCAACAAGTGCTTGTAATTTTATTATGCTGTCCTGTAGTTTACGCAGAGTTGGTATTATTTTACAGAGTTCTGTTAATGGACTGGATAAATGGTAATGCTATTTAAACTAGTCTCCTGCTCCAACAAACACAGCTGCAACTGTACTACTATTTCTTTGCAAACATCTTGACCTGAACATGCAGTGCTACTTCAGCCCGTCCAAAGAGAAATTGGAGCAGACAGCAAAGGAAAAGCATATTCAGCCGCTAGTACCAATAAACCGTGTCGAATCATCATTCATATACAGTGCACCCTCTTTTTCTTTTATATTGCATTTAGAATCCACAAAAGCATGTGTGTGTCTGCCCTGGCATCTCATTTTCAGCCAAGAGTCAAATGAGGATTATACATTACAAAAGCTCAAAGAAAACTGCATAACATTCAGTATATTAGGATCACTTTCATCTCAGCAAACAATGCTAATAGCCAATCTTTATTTATATAGTGAGCTGGTAAATTTTTAGTCAATGATATTTTAGAAAAAATGCATTTGGCATCATATATAATTTATAACAAGAAAATCTAAATTTGTTTCTTTCAGAGGTATGTGTGTAATAGGCACTATATATAATACTATTACATATATATAAGGAAATAGAGCTGGAGATGCAACAGCCAAATACTTTGTCATGATACTACTTTGCCTGTTATTTCTAAAAAACCCTGAATCTTTTCTTCTGTCATCCTTCTTGCACAAAAACTTTTATTTTTAGATCAATACTGTAAAGGACACTCTTCCACGTAGATTCCACCCTCTAAAATATTTGTCTCAAGTAAGCTACTAGCCACCTGTAACATATTCAGAAAATATGAACCTACAACTTTGTTCTTTATAATTACACTAGCCCTGTACTCAGCTTCACAAGCTTTTACCTCTTATTATTATTTCTTTCTTATTATGGATCCTTCATACTACTTGTTTAATTGTTAGTGATCACTGTCATAAAAATGTGGCCACATGTATCTTATAGCTTTTCTTCTGGAAAGTACTGCTATTGTTAACAATTCACCACAATGTAACTCAGATGAGGCAACATTTCTCAATGTAAAAAAACATTCTTGACCTGAGAATGCAGATAAAATATACAACTCAGGTTCCTAGGTATATTCAGTGGCTACATCAGCTATCAAACGCCAAATAAGGAAAGACAGCTTGTCAAGAATAAGCATTTAGCCATAAAGGTAAAATCAGAGAGATCAAACTATGTACATCCTTATTACCCAGTACAAAATAACAACACAACTTTAGGCTCCTTACGGCTTTGGAAAATTCTTTGAACAAACAAGCACATAAAAGTTCTGAATACATTTTCTAGCTGCTCATTTTCCTATTTTCTAACTGTCTTAAGTTAATTAGAAAACCCTGTCATAGTTTTCTTAGATCTATTATCAAATACTTCAAGTCTCTTTCTTTCTTAAAAAATCATAACAAAATGTACAAGAAAAGTATTAATAAAATATTGTCATGTTAAAATTGTAACAAAATATATAAGAAACACTTGCTCTACTATGAAATATTATCAGAAAAGGAAAAATGTCAAACAGTCTAATTTGCTGATAGGGAATTCTGCAAGGTACTACATCACCTGAAAACTGGTGGAGAAATTCTTTCGAATACTTCCGGAATAAGCACCAAATATTCTTGCTTCTCAGAGACAGTGCTGAGGTTGCTTCCTACATTTTCCCCTCTTCAACTTAGTTATTTAAATTCCAGGGAACAGTCATTCCATTTAAATGCATTTTTATACTACAAAGAAAACAACTTCCTAGGCTGTGGTATGTTGTTTATATATACAGACCACTAGCATTGCAGGGTGTTAAACAGTGCTCACTGAAAATTTGCCTTGAAGTTAGTTATTTCAAAACACTCCATCACAAATAACTAAAATAGGAAGTGGAATACTATTAAAACTAACCCTGTGGCTATTCTTCAAAACACTAAGCAAATATTTAAATAGAAGTTTCAACTCATATATGTACATATAATTTTTATAGCAATCCACATACTATTTCTTTGGTAGAAATAGACCTTAGACAATATTCGTTAGAAGAAGTTTCTTTATTTGATTTTTTTAAAAACATACTCAATTGGACCAATTAGGCAGAAAAAGAATACTACTGCCAGTGACTCAGGTATCCTTAAGAGGAGCAGTATCAGGGAAGTCAGACTCTAGACTAGAGATGAGATGTGACAGGTCACCTGAGAAAGTTTTCCCTAGGGTGAAATTAGGTATCAGGAGGATGGAGCCCAGATCTTAGCTTCAACTGTGGGAGGACTGTTCTACTTCTTCAGGAATTGATAACCATACTAAACTGCAGGCTTCTAAGTCAAGCTTGGAAAAAAGCAATATGTACACTTTCTCATTAGCCAGGACCATATGGGACTTCCCCACCATCCAGGTGGGCCTGTTCGGAGCAAGTTACTCTCTCTATCCCAGCAGTGTTTCACAGTATACACCAGTATCAATAATCACTGCTATTTATTTTTCCAACACTTTGTAGCTTATCTCCCATCTGCACAAAATCATTCGCCTGGCTTAAATTTATTATTAAAAGCTTTCAAAAATGTGTTTTCACTGTTGTACATTACGTCAGTGAGTAAGCATTCCAAGAAGGAAAAAACTGGTTCTACCTCATATTCACATTATGTTCCATTAAAGAACCACTTCCTTTAATAGTCTATGATGTATTTGATATGAAAACCTTATAGTCATTCATATTACAGAGTTTGGAATTTTCACTTTAAAAGAAATATTTAAGAGGGAATTTACAGCACTTGTTAAACACCTTAGAATAATATTTTCAGACTAATAAACACTACTGCTTGAGTACAGGCGTAATACCCAAAGAACTGCCATTAAGATCCTCAGCTTTACAAGAACACACTGCCAACTTCCTCTTCAGAGGAAGCATGGTAGCAATTTTTCTCTTTAGAATTCAATCAGATGTTTCCAACAGATAAATATGACCATCATCACATGACCGAAACAATTATACAATTACAATCACATACAAAAGTCACTAAATGCTAGCCAAATAAGGCCAATGGAAAACCAATCATAAATAATCCAGAAAATACAAAAGCAAGCTTTTAATGCATTAATCCATTGATGAATAGATTCCAGGAAAGCACCAGAAAACAGATCCAAGATATATTTAAGAAAACACACAAGATACTACCCAAAGCAACAATAACTATTTCTGTCTACTTACAGTCTGTATAGCTTCGAAGTCCCAAGGAACAGCAATTCAGGAAACAGCTGAAGGTGATTTCTGTTTAAACGCCTTTTGAGAAAACAAAAACAAAGCTTATGTTACATAGAAAATATCCAACAATGAGACTGCGATTTGGTAGCTGCCTGCTTCATCTTGTAATTCAAGAAAGAAAGAAATGACATTCAAAAGAATTTAAGCATTGCAAATTCAGAACTTGGTTACACCTTTTGTTACATGACTCTAATTTCCTACTCAGATGATGATTATTGAGGCCCCAAACTCAAATCCCCTGCAGTAATTGAGGCCTAAACTCTAAACTCAAATCCCCTGCAGTAATTGAGGCCTAAACTCTAACTCAAATCCCCTGCAGTATCAGCCAACCAGAGCACACACAAGGCTCAAGGATTTCATGACAGACTCACACACTAAGGTAAAAGGTGTTTGAAAATAATTCATACACTATGCTAAATGACCTAAATTTTAGTCAAGGCATTGTGGAGAGATGGGACTTTCAATTCTGTTACCAAAATTTTTTAGTAGGAAAACAAAAAGTATGAAAAAGACTCAGCATCACTTTTGTCCACAGGCAGAATCAGAAAAAGAAAAAAAACCTTACAGAGTTCAAACGTAAACCCACAACTCTCAACGCTTCTCTGAATCCAAAGCTCCAGTTAAAATGTTAAATGTTAACTGACATTGTAATGTTCTCAATGTTTGGGAAAATAATTTTACTGCAAGTCTAAAGCAATTTAAACCCTGATGCTATGTAACTAAGTTTCTTTTTGGGGGGAGGGGGGGGCTCACCTAGATTTACACAATAAAGTGAGAAAATTCTATCTCTTGGTGTTCAAAGATTCCAATTTGATCTGGTTTAGGTACACAATTTAATATGAAATTTTAAATAATTGTCTGTTTCTGCCTTTTCTCCCAATCTAAATAAAAGGAAGACTAGCTAACATAAAATACATACAGCTAATATAAAATACAAGTTGCTTAGCTTATTGGGCTAAGTCAATTCATACACCAATGTCACACTGAAAAAAATCAGAGGTACTTCCTATCGGTATCTTAAAGATACATGTTTGGACACCAGGAAAGAAAGGATATCAATCTTGACATAATTAAAAGACCATCAACTACAAGCAGAATTAGAAGACTAATTAAGTCTCTAGAGGGCAGAAATGAGACCAATGATTGCAATTCCTAAAATAGTAGGTAATGAAGAATTAGAGACAATAAGAAATGGAAAGATCTAGTATGGGAAACTCCACACCTACACATGTAGTCCATCAGAAACTGGCATCTTATCCCGAAAAGGCCATACCAAAGAGAAATCTTACATTAAGTGAGAAGGTGGACACGGTGAACTTTAGTCTTCTTCAATATTCAAAGATGCCATGAAGAAAGGACACTTACTATAACTTAGATAACACAAAGTCATTAAGAAGTGTATCTAAAAAAACATTCTCAGCACTTAATAAAAAGTATTCTAACACAAACCTATGCCAAGACAAGTAAGGAGCAAAAAATAAAAATTAGTGGTGAAAGGCCAGATTTACTTCCCACCTACATGAAAAAAGTATGACCTGCTTAAAGTGAAACCAAAAGCTTGTATTTGTTTTCTGTTGAACATGCTTCTGTGTAACAAGTATTTCTGGGTCTACCATTTCTAATTTCAATGAAATACCCCTTACTTGTGGCTTGTTATACAGTCATTCAAAACTACAGATTACAAATATTTACAAAAGAGACAATATGAAGTTTTCTAGGAAAGCAAACCATTCTTGGAAAATGAGTATTATCCAAAGAGCCAATTCTGATTTCTACAAATGGCAAGGATGGGTTTTCTTAGTTATATCCAAACCATCTGATTAGCAAACCGCATCCCACTTTTCACCTCACTAGGTTTGTTACTTTAGACCTCAAATCCCTGCAGAGGCAACTCAGTACAGAATCTTTTCCCTTTTTGGCAAATGATACCTTCTTACATCCTCTGTGAAACTCTCCAGTTTTGCTAAGCACAGTCAGTGCCTCCCTTGGAGGCATATTTCCAAAGCATTTGAATAAGAGGCTTTTACAGTGTATTATGCTTACTCGTGTACTGGTCCCTTCAACTGTAAAGATTGTATCTTTGCATCCCCTGCCTCCCTCTTTGGCACTTACTAAGTTTTGACCTGTATTAAAAGGCAGTCTGTTCTCACTGGAGTACTTAGGAAGTACTGAATGAGAACAGATTGTTCCTGCATTGTGAAATAGCTCAGTCAGAGTCTGGTATACACGCCTTATACAAGCACAAGTTCTCTCTGTCATACTCCTGGAGATATACCTGCTTTGAGGTTGGCGCCTCGCTCTGACACACCAAAGACCCACCACCCAACTAACTTCCTTGTGCCCTAAGCAGCAGTCACCTCTTTTCCCCTGCATTGACCTCCACTCCCTGCCCCCTCCCACACATGCTTGGCATCACCTAGAGTTGAATGAAATCCAGTGTGTTTTTAAAACCTCAGACACATACCTGACTGATACATGCTACCAGCTTTCTTATTAATAGGTCAGTATAAGTAGAACTTTAAGTACTATCAGAAAGTAGATATTTCAGATTGGCTCTAAGTAGTGCCTTTTTCTTAATCACATTATCATCATTTCCATATTCTCATGTTCTTGATTAAATTTACAAGTAACAGCTAACATCTAACACTCTGCAATGGGCATTGTTTAGAGAAGTTTTCATGAATTATCTGATTCACTCTTCCCAATATGAGCATGAGTAGGTATGATTCCGACTGCTGCTTTGAAGAGCATCACAGAGCTTGAAGACAGAGCAAGGATTGAACAGAGGTAGTGTGTCTGGAGCACATCTGCTGAATCACTCCCACCTAGAAATCCACTGGAAACATTCCTATATGATAATTCAAAATAATGTTATGCCAAACTCTCCTCTTCACCAATTTTTCCTTGAGAAAAGCATAGTTTTATACAGCCCATTTCTTAAATATTTATAAACTCACATCTGAAAATAAAACACCAAATTTTACTTAAAAAGAAATTGTAGTCAACTATTTTAAGTACTTCAAATTTGAGGTGTAAAGAGAAACGTATCAAAACATTTTTCTCTGAATTAAAAGTTTATTATTCTTTTATGAAAATTATTATGAATGAACGAATGATCTTAAAATGTCAAAATCAACCATGATACATTTCCATTTTGTGTGTTAATACGAAGAAATGCTGCACAAAACAGTGTAGTAACACTAAATAATGTTAAGACACATAAAAAAATGTGTTTACTTTTTTGTCTGAAAAGAGTATTAGTACACTTCTTTCTCCTATTCCCTTCTCTCTTTATCAGTACTAAGGTTAAATGTACACATAAGTATTAGGATAAAAAGCAAAACTTTTACAGAACATTCAAGAAAGAAGTACTTTAAAGGAAAGATTCTTATACAAGGACCAGAAATTAACTTTTTACACTAAAGAACACTTTTCAAATATCTGAAATTACATTACCTAAGGACACTCAACTATGTCCAAGGGGAGAGAATGGATGTATAAGGGACATCTAGCAGTGTCATCCCTAAATGGGAGCTGATCCCAGGACTGAGAACTCTCTCCATTGCACATTCATGAATTCGAAAAGGTGTGTGATGTATTTCTCTGAGACTGTTTCACTTAAGACAAAGAGGAGACGGGATCCCAGTAACTTCTCTGTGCTATCAGCGTTATTTCAGACTTTCAGAGGGGTAAATGACCTTTGTGTGTTGCACAAAGCTCTGTCCTCTGAAATGCTAATTCTGAACCCTTTCAATATGAAGGGCACCTGGGCATTATTGACATGCTTTATTCTACATTATTATGTGCCAGCTGCTTCAGTGACTCTTGTCCTTTGGTAAAGATTATAGTCTCTTATTTTTTTCAACCTTTAATTCGAGTAATCTTTGCAACCTTCTATCTAATGCAAAATGTAAACAATTTTACTAAAGGCTGTGAAAACTTTACACTTTGTGTTTACACTTTGTTGTAAACATAAGGCATCTTAGCAGCAGGCCTGATCTGTACTGTGCCATAAATTCTGGTTTTAAAATCCTATCATTTCTAACCTCCTGTTTCTTATTCATAAATGATTAATTAGCTCCTCTTCCTCAGATAAAATCTCTACTTGTCTTTTTATAGTGCCTTTTTTCTAACAGTTTAAGCAAACATTTTAACATTTATCTTACATTTCAAAGTTAAGTTTTCAGCAGTGCTAATGTAGCTTGTATTATGTAAAGGAGGCTGTATTTTCAGTAGTGATACCAATGAAACTTTCATCCTTTATTCTCTGCTAGAGAGGTCAACAATTACTAGTAAAAAAAAAAAAAGCTACGTCTTATTTAATTTCTTTGTTTATTGGTATTTTTCTACATCTTCAGAAGTACATGAAAAAAATCACTTGTACGTTTCTTGTACTTTTTTCTCATCTGTTCTGCTAGTGACACACTAAATGGTAAGGAAAAATCCATAAAGAAATAATAGTAAAGATAAATCCATAAACATAACATGTACACGTTTTCATAAAATAATTCCTCAAATCAAATTTTGAGAAATAACTGTGTGCATAATAACAGTTCTTTAAGTAATGTATGTTAAGTATTGTCTGAAACTATATATATATATATATATGATTTGAATATTATATATTGCTTTAATTGCTTGAATATATACTTATGTATACATATATGTATATATATTCATCTTACATAAATTCTATACTGCCAATACAACTACTAAAATGATTATCCTTGTTTTAAATGGGAAGAAAGTAATTTTTAAAGATGAAGGAATGTGATCAAAATCTCACAGGGGATTGAGATAATTTCTTAAGTCTGTCTTATTGTTTCTGATTTTTAAAAGAGGAAAGGATCAAAAACCACAACCAACAATATAAGTAATGTGTATTAGCCTGCTATTCTATGAGACATCAGACACCAGCAGAGACTTTTACAAGGTGTTTAAAACTTGGACAAGCTGGACGAGGTGTTCAGCTACTTAACATCCTGTGCTCCACCACCAGGATTTCCAGAGCACACACC